GACAAATTATGATCGGTTTAGTTTTTTCGTGGTTAAGTCTGAGTCCGTGTTTATTAGTCCAAGTAATGATTTTCTCAATATCTTCGTTCACTCTCAGAACACTTTCGTTGATCTGTTTGGGTGAAAAATGTGTATAAATCTGTAAGTCGTCAGCATACATGTGGTATTTACAGTGTGTGAGGACTGAGCTCAAGTCATTTATGTATAGTACGAACAACAGAGGACCAAGGATGGACCCCTGAGGTACACCACTAGTAACTGTCTCCCAGTCAGAACGTAAGTCATCAACCTCAACACATTGCCGCCTGTCTGACAGATATGATCCCAGCCAGTCCAATACACCATTTGAAAACCCTATGGCCCTTAGCTTTTCCAAAAGGAGCTTATGATTTACACAGTCAAAGGCTTTAGAAAAATCAAATAGGGTAAGAATCGTACCCTGCCGATGTTCCATTGCTAGTCTAATGTCGTCCGTCACACGTAAGAGTGCTGTTTCTGTACTGTGAGCTGCTCGAAAGCCAGACTGTGAGTTGCATAAGATATTGTTTTCAGTCAGAAACTCAGTGATTTGGCAGTGCACGATTCTTTCAAGGCCTTTAGATAATGCGGGCAATATACTGATCGGCCTGAAATCCTGGCAAGAAGCAGGTGCTGGAATCTTATTTAAGGGACGAATTAGGGCAGACTTCCAAGAAATCGGGAATATGCTTTGCCTTAGAGATGTGTTGAAAATGCAGGTGATAGTGGGGAGTATAGCAAAGAGAATGTCCTTAAAGAAGCGAATTGGAATGCCATAAGATCCAATAGCATTACTGCGAATACGTCGAATAGATTTCAGAACATCAGACTGCAGTACAGGTTTGAAAGTGAACTTGGGGTATCCTAATTCTTGTACAGGGGAGTTTCTTAACTCCGTTATATAACTTTCAACTTGTTGTTGATTGATGCTTTGACCAAAGGAAGAGAAGAAAGCGTTTAATTCATTCAGAGGAATATTGACTCTCTGTGCTTCAGGTTGTTTCCCAAGCCCAAGACTTTTTACGTTACGCCATAAAACTCTAGATGGTTGGTTATTGTTTTCAAAAAGCATACGAATATGTCGTAATTTTGAATTCCGCAAAAGTTGTTTAACTCTATTTCGAAAATAACGATACTGTTCCATTTCTTCTTGATTCCGGGAACGTTTTGCTCTCCTGAAAAGACAGTCGCGCCTAGCCATCAAGCTACGTATTTCAGGGGTAATCCAAGGCACTGGTTGTTTTTTGGTCAAACGTTTTGAAACAATTGGAACATGTTTGTCAAACAGATTTATAATTTTGCTGTTAAGTTCATTTAACATTTCATCAAGAGATTGAGAATTTTCTATTAAGTGCCATGGTGTTTTCTGAATATCTAACATAAACTCAACTTGATTCATATTCTTAAAATCCCTATATTTTATAAATTTAGTCTTGGGTTTAGGTGCCTTAACTGAATACACACAAAATATGAGATCATGCTTGGATACTGCTGGAACTGGAAGCTGCCCATGATGTACAATGTCTACAACATCTGATACTACGATTAAGTCAAGAAGAGTGTCAGACTCGGCTGCATGATGTGTAGGGTCAAGTGGGAGTATGTTAAAGTTACATGAGTCGAACAATGTAGTCAGTTGTCTGTATTCATAGTTTTCATTGGTTGAAAGAAGGTTAATATTGAAGTCCCCCATGATCAAGACATGACTGTATCCAAACAAACAATTTAAGAGAGCGTTTTCAAAATCCAATAGATTGCCTGCTCTAGGTGGACGATAACATACACATAACAGCAAATTCTCAGCCCCAGATAGGCTAACTTCAATAATTAAAAATTCCGGTTTTGCCGAGTACTCAGAGTTTGAGCAATTTACCAGTTTAAATTTGATTCCCTCCCTGATATAAACTGCAACACCGCCACCCTGCTTGCCAGTTCTGTCATTGCGCTGCAGAATATAACCAGGGAGGTTCACTTCCTGTGATGGAATACTTGGCTTCAACCACGACTCAGAAACTGCGATTAAATCAAAATCTTTGTATCTGAAAATCTCCTTCACCTCATCAATGTGCGCACATTGCGCAACATCTTACTGTGGAGAGCTTTTTCCGAGATAGGGGAATCAATGATGTGGACCTAGCCCGATGGTTCGCTGGTAGGCCCATCGCAGTGAATGCTACCCATCAAGTTAAGGTATATTGTGGGATCACCTCTTCAACATATTATCAGCAAGTTGACAATATAAACTCCACGGATACGGTGGGATCAAAAAGAAATTCATCAAATGGTACCAGTGTCACGACCCATTTACTGAAAATAGTTCGCTCATGTCAATCAGCTCAGCAGTTATCCCATATGATAGCATCAACGCGAGATATGTATAAAGCATAATGGAAAGGCAGCTTGCAAGAAAATCGTAAATAGGCAAGCCTATAATGACCATAAACTGTGCAGAATAAAAGGAAGTGGTGACATTAATCGCGAGCTGTGATGGCAACAGCAAAGGTTAAAGAAGAATTTGCCCCCTCAGTCAACACGTGATATTCCACATTAAATCCAAGCCTCAATTTAAATCATACTTTGGATTTAAAATAGGTCCGTACCCACTAGCGCAGTTTGATGAAGAAAGCGTGATGTAGAAGAGTCGAAAATCCAACTATTGATGTAGCCTAAAACTACTCATGCTGTTTACTCCAATCAATGTGGATCTCACTGTGTTCTGACGGGTTACAACGCTTGGCGAAGTTGCAGAAGCAAGTTGGCCCTATACATGGTTGGGAGCAGAAAATATCCAAATCAAGTGAGGGTTGGTCTCTTCTATAGGACACTTTCAACTAATGTTGACTTTGATTCTAACAAAAGGGGCTGCTCAACCAATCCTTTAGAGCTCATTTAAAATTGTACTTAATTCAGAGAGATAGGTATGGAAAATTAACGTCTGGGTTAACTCCCATCACTACGGCTAATCCACCGGTTCGACAAGAACTTCTCAACTCCGTCTACCTATCTCAACCATCGTGTACATGTTAAAAAGGTTTAAATTTTCTCGCTCCATATGAAATGCAGGGATATAATGCACTACTGTCTGAAAGACTTGCAAGGGGCACGATTATCTCAATTCGATATCTGGCGAAAAAGATGGTACTGAATGTCACCATTTGTGGCAAGACCAATAAGAGCAAAGAATGAATCCTTATTCTTAAGATTCCAATGATGAGAAGTAGAAAAGTTAAATGGTAAAATCTACGAAAAATCTCAATCGTGTTTTTTAATAGGCTAAATACATAGTAAAACTATGTACATCCGTCCCATTATCATCTTTCGTTTATTAAGCTAAAAAATAACATTTTTGCTATATTTAATAAAATCTTTCTCGTTGTAATATCTTATTATATTAGAATCGCTTAACATCATTCCGGAGTGTCAATATTAGATTTAAAATTGCATAGGGGGTCTTGCTACCCTTCCCTTCACACATTTCTGGATAAACCTCTGGATGATAACCATGAAATAAACCACTATCTAGTCATTCATAATCATAATTCTACGCAAAATTTTGTGTTTTCCAAACTAACTACAGGTGCATTTTTGTATAGCATGCGTCGTTTAGGAGTTTTAAGCCGAAAACTGGTCAAATAATCAACCTTTTGGCCATGTTGATGAAAATATCTCAACTTTGAAAAGCTACAGCGGCTAAACGGCTAAGCCGATTTTGACGTATTTAACATCAATCGACGCGGAATGTAATGCACTAAAAGTCACCTTTGAACAACATTTTCCTTAGGATTCGTTATTTAGGAGTTATAAGCGAAAAACTGAAAAAAGAGCAAAATTTTCATAGTTTTTCGACTCCCAAAACTTAAGCAGACGTCAGAATCCGTCGCAAACTCACAGGAGTCTTATTTGGGACCCCCAAAAGGTATTAAAACACTTTCCAGCTTTAGACGATTTTTTGGGGAGCATATGTCTAATTTGCCTGGGCTAAAGTTTTAAACTGCTGTTTCAGAAACCTTAATTTCTAGTTATTTGTGTATGTCAGCTATAACGAGGCTTTAAAGGTAAAATACCATTCTTACCGTTAAAACTTAATAATAATTAGTTTGGAAATGTGAATGATATTTTTTTGTGTATGAAACTTCTGAGTACACAATATTGGTTTATACACTTAACTCACTCTGATTAGTGTGATGATGTGAAATAGCTGAGCTTTTTACTAGTACAAAAATATAGCACAGTACTAAAGTATAGTACCCTACTACGCATAGAAACTTGAATACTTGACACACAGGTTCTTCTGTGGGTCAAGGTTCAGCGGTACTGATGTCAAATATTTCAACCTATAGTATTACAATGTTAACTTTTTAACCATAATCATTATTTTTATTGCCAAAATTTAACAGTGAGGAATATGAAATGCAATGAGAGGCCAACTATTTTCTATTCAAGTTGTGTTTCTGAAGATGCCTAATCTTCTAAATAAAGACATTTTTCATTTCATTTCATTATCTTTTAATAAATCAACGTAAGTTCATCCGTTGATTATGGTAGTTTCAATAGAAAATTTGGACACTACTTAAAGAACTGAACTGGTAAAAATTATAATTTAATCTGAAATTGCCATTGATGAAGTTTCTCTGTTTCCACATCTTAAATCTAGCAAAACTGCTATCTCAAGACTAAGAAAACGTTTTTTTACTGGTTGTTATATAAATATTGGCATTGCCGTTAGGTATAAAATTTAAGATGAAAATAAGTTAAAATCCAGTCATATAAATAAAATATGAGATAAATATGTTGACCAAATCACCATAAAAAATATATATAAATATGTTGATAAATTATCCAACCAATGTCCTTTAAATCACTTATGAATAAAACATTTCCCACACCTTCCAGTTTTTTAGATCAGACAAATGCATCTCTCATAAATAACAAACTTATTTTTAATGAAAAAAGTCGACTCTTGATAGATTCATACAACCAGAAATAGAAAGATCACTTTATTTATCTATAAATATAAATCAATGTACAAGACTAAAGGGTGAGCAAAGAATCAATTTAAAGTGTAATCATGGAACGCCGAGGGAGATGCGTAGGAAGAGACGTTTGGTAAATCGTAGTTTGTAATGTTTCCATAACTCCTGTCATGGGACTCCAGCTCCGAGTAGATGATGGGGAAGTACTGGACTCGGCCACTGGACCAACCCTGGAATATGTTCATAGTTTCAGATTTTAGAACTGCCAACTGCAGCTAACATTTTATATTTATTTTATTTTAATTAATACTGTTTATGGGTTTTTATGTAAAAATCCAAATTTTAGAAAAATGAAAAACACCTGTAGCATGGTTGGTTTTGCATGTGTTGGTTAGTATCTACATAGAAAATTTCATCAAAATTCGATCACAGGTCTGTAGCTTTGGACACATCCACACGACATCACTTCAAAAACAACTTTTTTGGGTTCAGAACTGACAGCAACGATATTGAATTTTAAACCAATGATTATGAATGGTAGAACAATGTTTCCCTGGGGTTATTTCAAACACACAGAGTATAAAAGAATCAGTAATACATTTTTAAAAAATTTACAAACCCTTGTTATGTGATAAACATTATCTTAAGACATCTGGCAACTAATACTTACAATTGTGAGGTTAGCACCATCATTAAAGTTGTTCTGGAATGAAATAACTGCAGGTGACTCGTTAGCAACTCCTTTGATAAAGCAACTGGAAAATATGACTTGGTTAAACATTTAAAACAGTAGCGTAAGTATAAAATAACATAAAATGTGTTTAGATACAAGAAAAATAATATTTCCATTCCTTCAAGTGCAAAGATAATGAAGAAAGGCACCACACTTTTGACTGTCTTTAACCATAAGTCTTAACAGTAGACGCTGAATTATCTAATTCTTTATTTCAAAATTCGTTTCTCGGTTGTACTGAAAAACTGACTACTTTTATTTGACTTAGTTGAGAATATAATAAAGATAAAATATTTTTAAAGCAGATATTATTCATCCCTCACTATCAATTACTTTCTTTAGAGGGTTTACAAAGTACAAGTACTTGATAAATTTGAGGGGTGGATTGATTTGATTTGTAAACACACCCCATTCAAAATTTTTAAAACTTCCAAAATCATATGAATATAAAATAAAATATAATGGTAAAGGGAGAACTTCTCTAATAACAATTTAAAGTTTTTGTGGTATTTTAGCATTATTTATCACAACTACCACATGAGTAGTGGTAGCGGATTCCAAAGTTACTGTTATTAAGAGTAAGACACATGTAAATAAAAATATAATACAACTGAACACTGAAGAAGTTATGAACTAAATATTACACCCAAATCAAAACGCCAAGTCAGAACTCAAGCTTTTTATCAAATGTATTTACTCTTTATTTAACAGAATTGCAAAAATTAGAATAACCTATTAATCTATTCTATCTTAGTTTTTTAGGATAAAGCAATTTGGCAAAAGAATAATTTGACTAAGAATGATGTATACTCGACTTACGAAAAAAAGTGTCAATAGAAAAAAAAGAAACCCACAAAAAGTGCATAACAAAACTAATTTGATATTTACATGTTTAATATAATAGGCCTAATGATTCTTTTGAAAACATTGAAGAACTTACCAAGGTGACTAAGAATGATGTATACACGACTTAAAAAAAAAAAGTGTCAATAGAAAAAAAAGAAACCCACAAAAAGTGCATAACAAAACTAATTTGATATTTACATGTTTAATATAATAGGCCTAATGATTCTTTTGAACACATTGAAGAACTTACCAAGGTGACACATGCAGAGTATGACCTAGAGAAGTCATGAACACAGCTATGATATCACACTGTTTGAACGTAACTGCAAGGTAACGTCCCTTCTTGTCCCACGCCAGACTGCTGACTTCACCTCCCACCCTGCAGACAACATTGCACAGTCAAAACTGCTTGCTTGAGAGCGGTTTTGATCCTTATGCGGGACGTGTAAAGCACAGCTCAATTTCACATTTTCCATCATTATTGCATATTAGGTAAATGAAATAAGACAATAAGTATTTGGGAATTGAAATAGGTAGAAATGCAGCAGTTACAAATACATTATTACAGGCTGAATTCCACTTTAAATTGGCAAAAAACATCACACTTATCATAGCTTAGGTTAGCCTTCAATAGAAGACTAATTTATGCTTCCTAATAATTTATCACCGAACCCAGGTAATTCTGACGACTATAACATGAGCTATTGGACCATCGAATACACACAACCACATGACTCAAGTGAGTGAAAACGGTAGAAACTGATGTCTCCATACAGTTAAAGGAGAATATGATTTGATTTTCCTTCTTTATGATTCAGTGACTCATTTACATATTTGGTTTTAGCCTTTTTGGTTTTAGAACTATACCCTACAGATGTTTGAGCAGATAGAAAAAAAGTAGTTTAAATTAAATGCTAATTATTTAAATGTCAAGGCAATAAATTTGAACACATGATTTCGGTCCACCAACCTTTCTCCGTTGTCGAGTTCCACCGGGGTGAGGTCTATCAAGGGAGTGGCAGCCCGACGGTCCTCCTCCTGGAACACGCCGGCAGTCTGACTGCACATCAGGGAGTATATGACAGGCTCCAGGGACACAGCGAAGAGAACAAGAGAGGAGCACGGAGACCAGACGGCAGACACCACACGACCAACTGTCAACGCCCAGCGATCAGCATTCCACTGACACGTCTCCCACACCCTGTCATAGTCAAGGAACACAATAAAAGCTTTAACTATTTATAGACACACTATGCGCAAAATAAAAATATTAATGATCTGTCTAGTTTTGTGGCTATAACCCTTGGACTAATTTTAATTTTCTAAACCCCCTAATCAGCAACAGACTTCCCTTGGATTAGAGCCTAGACTGTTGTTGAGCAAAATGATCTGCCAATAGTGCACTTTTTCCTGCAATTAAAACATCTTATTACAATACACTGAAGATATAAGTCTACCTGAACACCATGTTGGTAGTAGCGGCAAACAGTTTCAGAGAATCAGGTGACCAAGACACTAGGCTTATTCCACCACCACCCACTCTCTTGAGAGGTACAGCATTGTCTAGTCCTACGGCCCACACATACATGGTCTGGTCTCGGGCACTGCCACTGACTAGCAGGTCCCCCTGAAACACAACACCATGTTGGTAGTAGCGGCAAACAGTTTCAGAGAGTCAGGTGAACAAGACACTAGGCTTATTCCACCACCACCCGCTCTCTTGAGAGGTACAGCATTGTCTAGTCCTACGGCCCACACATACATGGTCTGGTCTCGGGCACTGCCACTGACTAGCAGGTCCCCCTGAAACACAACACCATGTTGGTAGTAGCGGCAAACAGTTTCAGAGAGTCAGGTGACCAAGACACTAGGCTTATTCCACCACCACCCACTCTCTTGAGAGGTACAGCATTGTCTAGTCCTACAGCCCACACATACATGGTCTGGTCTCGGGCACTGCCACTGACTAGCAGGTCCCCCTGAAACACAACCCAATGTAACCCGGGTATTGGTAGAAAAATGTGGGAATTTTTATTAGCTTTATCATGCTACCTACATAGTATGGTCGCCATTTCATAAGAAAGTATAAAGTAAAGTATTTTATTTGTGTAGTAGGTATTTAGCTGTGTGGGCATTACAGGTCTTAACTGTATCAGTTTGTAAAATCTTAGTAAGAGTTCACAAAGAGGTTTGACAAATTTGCATGTAGTTAGTTTTAAAAGTTATGACATAGGCCTATAATGGTTAAAACATACCTTGTCAGACAATCCTTAACATGTAGTGTCATATTACATATAACATTATAATATGTCATACACGCAATCCTGGGGCTATGAAAATGAATTTTAATTATAAGTTATGTTGTCAACTTTGACCAGGATTTTTTTGTATCGTCTCATTATAAAATTTTTGCTGTATATCAGACAGCATAATGAAATTCACATACAAAATTCAGGAATTTCACAAACATTGTCAACAATAACAAACTGGATGATTTATTTCTCCTATTCTGATGCACAGAGCATAGCTATATCAGTATAATTTGATTGTCCTTTGTTTTATATATCCATATTTCAGTTAAGACACACATCTAATGTGGTTGTGAGGAGAGGAACTGTGGATAATCCTTCCTCTACTATATCGAACCTGAGGGCTCCATGCGAGATCAGACACGTGCGTGTGGCCTCGACGAGTCAGCAGCTGTGTGTTGGAGGCAGACGGACGAGTAATGACAGAGTTAGGGTCTACATGCCACACAAGCACTCCAACCTCACAGCCAACTGCCAGCTCCGACCCACACAGTGGTCTTCAACACAAACAAACAGGATTCCATATATTAATTGACAAGTATAAAATACAGTATTCCTGGGACTTCCAACCCTTAACCCTCAAATATAACCTATGACCTCGCCCTGCATGGCCAAATGCTCCTGAGGATGGCACTCAGGCTTACCTGCACAGTGAAAGTCTTCTCAATATGTAGGCATAGCACACAAACAGAAACAACCACACACAAAATTAAAATATTTCATTCACTTTGTCACACATAGAAAAGATTGTCCACAATGGTGGTGTAGGATGCAGTTCAGTTAACTTCCTCTAATACTGGTTAATGCCAATTATATTTTGAAAAAAAGTATTAATATTAAGGGGGAAATAAAATTTAACAAAGCATGTACACTTTTGTCAGTTTTAAAATCACATATTTTTTATTAGTCAACGTTTTATTACAAACTAAATCTATTTACAAAAAAAAAAAAACTGATATAATATTTTTAGATGATAAATAAGTTATACTTTAAACTTTGTACCAAATATACAAATTTTGTGTATTAGCTTTATTGTTGGATAAAGACTAACTACTGGATTTAAATTTTATCATATTTGCTTATTGCTCTATTTTTGTTGAACAGATTGTAAATTAAATACAATGTAAAAAAAGTTATTTTTATTCATCATCCAAAAACATTTTTAGTGACTGAAACTTGATTTTTAATTGTTTTATGAGCTGACACAGCTAGGCTCCAAGGACTCTTAACCCACTAATTTCTCAATAGGAGTTTTTTAATCTAGAATATTCTATAATCAAGCATATGTCAAGACCCAGACAAGCAGGGTTAGAGGAAGTTTACTGTAGTTCCAACCTGGCAACACCAATAATCATTGTAAATAAGTAGGTATGTTACAGGCCTGTTTAGGCATACAAGATTGAGAATCTAGCTGATTCACTGGTTATAGTCCTGCTCAGAAAAGGTGTTGGAGTTAAAATTTGGAGGTCACTGAATTTCGAAAATTCCCAAACCCTCAAAAGTGGTCAGTGACATAGATAAATTTCAAATTAGGTAAGTTTATTTATGTGTTACATATAGGGAATACTCCCCCACTGTACACGTAACTGATTTTCCTATCAGAAGCAAAATTAAATGTGTTCTAAAACGATTTTAATCAACAGACCTCCAGACGAGACAGGAGACGAAGCGCTGTCCCCGACACTTGAGCAACGGAGTCAGCTGTGAGTTGTCCAGATACACCCTGATAGAGTCGTCACTAGCGGCCACGGCCAGTCTTGTGCAGTGGGGATGCCACGCCAGACACCGGATGTTGCTACTACTGTACACGGGGTTCTGAGATACCATCAGATCTTCCTTAACCTTTAACATATATGACTAAGAAAATGGCAACTGTAACATGTACAATAAAATGCAGCTAGCTTACCTTAGAAAAATCCTGTTAGGCCACGGAATACAGCATAGTTCTTTCTCTTTAGTGTTGACAAAGAGAGGGAAATCTCATTTTCTCTTCTCTCTTTTTGTCTACACTTGACAAAGTTCCATTGAAAAACTGAATTGTGTCTTCTGTGCGTTCTATAAATGAATATTCATATGGGCTACCTGGACTTTTCTTCCTAAGATAATCTTACTGCTAACTATTTTTTCTGCAAATCTAAATCCTAACTTTGCGCATTTCCTTGAATAAAACTAACGGTAACATGATAACTCTTTCAGCTTTGATTAGATTGCATACTTAACGTCTAATTATTACCTGTATTTTTTGAAACTTTGACCTTTGTCAAATCTAAGTAAGTAAGTTTCGCGGTTATGTTTTGGGATTTGAGATTCGGGATTCAGTTTTTTTAAGTTTCGGTTTCGGTTTTGAGATTTGAAATTTCTGGTTTCGACCATCACTAACTTAAACCCATTAAAATAGGTCAAAATGCACAAAACGGTCAAAATGACCGGATGTGTTCTTTCACGTTATAACAAACATGGGTTTTTATAAGGGTTGTCTAATGTTGGTTGGTTGGCAAAAGTTGAAATTTTAAAAAAATCCTTAATTTCAATGTATAAGCCTACTAAGTTTCATTTGCCCAATATGGTTGTTGGTTTAGCAGATGGTAGTATGCTGATATGTACAAAATTAAATTTTCAAAACCCTTTCACAAACGAATGGTTTTATCTTACCTTCTTCTTGTACCCAGGAACAACATTATGAAGAGTTGAAGCAAAGCGTATTGCGGCCAACATTTGTTTGGCGACAAACTCTAAAACTATAAAGCCTTGGTTTTCTCTCGGATGTGCAGCCACTTCTAGCATCGGGACAAATCCTTTCTCGTACCTGCAAATCATAGGTTTGGAATAAATCACTGCAATAATCTAAGTACTTCACAAAACTTCCAACAAAAAAAATTTAAAATTTCACAAAAAACTTTGTATTTGTTTACTAATATAAATAAAGAACAGAGGTCAAACAAAAAAATGTTAATAAATCTAGCTTATACAGTCTTTTTAAAGCCAACATTAACAGAATCATTGTTATTTTAATTTGGAAGTATGGGTTTATAATTAGCCCATGATTGAACTACTGGTCCATACTTCAATGATTTTCTTTTGGTGCTCTAAAATCAGCAGTATTGCAATAACGACTGCAATAGAAGACGATCGGTTGGTAATCAGAAATGTTAAATAATCTGGCACTGCCAAAGTTCCAAATCTACCCGATTAGCGAGTGTCCTACTGTAAATAGTAAACAATATTAAACATGCCGAACAGAAATATTCCAGCTGATATATAAAGATGAAAAATCTATGAGAATTGTTTTGGCTTAATCTATGATTAAACACACTATTAAAAACAACAAATAGGAATACACATAGACAGTAGACCCCCTCTTAACCGACCCTAACGGGACCGGACCTAAGGATGACTCAAAGGGTCAGTTGAAACGGGCAATCCCTAAAAACTTGAAAAATGAAATGCTATTCATTTGGAATTAAATATCCTAATCATTATTCTGAAGTCGTGCATGGTGCATTATTTAGAAAATAAACTACACTTAATCTCCTTTATTAAGTATTGACAATAGAAAAGTCGCAAATAAAGCCAAAACACGGTTAAATCAAATACTTTCAGTGGAATAAATTACAGTCGTAGATAAGAGTCAATAAAAATTCTTAGTTTAATACCTTTAGTGATAATTATTGATTCTTTCAAAATCTATCAAAACACGGTGTTCCGAACTTAGTCCAAATTAAAAATAGGCCAACAAGCAACCATCTCGTTACGAGACAGGATGTTTATCTAGGATAAATAAAAAAATAGCTTATTCTTTGTAACATCCTATAGAGTTAAGCATATTGTTCCCATTGCAGAGCGTGGGAGCGGAATGCCAAGATTCCTAGATAGCAGCGGTTAAACCAAACTGATTCCAAAACGAGATCGGTTAAAACAAACTTTGTAATATTTTACAAGCGAGGGCAGATTATCGGTTAATGTGAGGTCGGTTAAGAGAGGGTCTACTATAATTAGCGTAATGAAATGTTTTACCAGGTATGCTGGAGTTTTTTCCACAAAGTTTGTGAAACTGGCAGGAACACTTTGCTACCGTCCTCTTTGGACATTGAAGGATGTAACATTTCATTTGTTATCACTATGTGAGGGTGGGATGACAACTGTAAAAAGAAAAATAACTAACCATTACACTTGTTGGCTCTTAAATCTAAAAGTAAAATAAATTAATGCTGTCTTATTGGTTTGTAGAATACATTGTGCCAAATAACAACATATAATGTTGATATACAAATCTGAATAATCTAAACTAGCAGCCAGCTTCACTTTGTGACTTCAAAATCTGCAATGTATCTATATATAAAGCCAAAAGTACCCGGATGAACTTTTGAGAAAACTACAAGCCACACCCCCATAAACCATATACTTAAATTGTTCGTCATGACGAGAAACCTTGCGCAAAATTATCCATTATTTCACAAATTGCCCTTTAAGGTCGTAATTCCTTTCTAAAGGGAACTTTTCATATACCTAATGTTAAAAATACTTCAGCTGTACTTATTTGTTTGTTATTCTTTCAATTTATTACCTTATTAAAATCAGGTGTGATTATTTGTTTCTTTTACTGTATTTTGTTTATTTCAGGTTAACCAATCAATCTATATATTAATTTGAAACTGTTTTTCTTTGTGACAGCTATTTTGAGAGAACGGCTGGGCGTAGAAACTCGGTAGAGGTGTCTAAAGAAAGGTCCTGGTCTGTAGATGAGCCATCAAAAGAGAAAATGGAGAATTCCCTCAGGGCTCTGCTCCAGTGGCCTTTAAATTCCCATCCCATGTTATTCTTATGGAGGAAAACGAGGTTTTTGTCACAGCTAATTTGAGAGAACGGCTGGGCGTAGAAATTTGGTAAGGGTGTCTAAAGAAAGGTATTGGTCTGTAGGTGAGCCCTCAAAAGAGAAACGATGTAAATTTCCTTGGGGCTCTGCCCCAGAGGCCTTTAAAGTTCACTCTGCAATTTTCTTTACATTTCGACCATATGGATAATTTTACACTACTTTTAATGAACCAGCTGTTAATATTAAAATTGTATTCAAAGGTCTACTGAAACTGTCAAAATTAAATGTTTACATTATTATTTATGATTTTAAATGGATTCTCCACTGCATGGCAAGTTTTTTATAGTTTCAACAAAATGATGAATTTATGATACGTTTGAAATGTTTTGTTCAAAAATCTATGCTTTTCCTTATCGGGTTAGCTTATACATATTGTAAGGTTGGCACTTGCCTTTTTTTCCTACTTTCAATCACCATTTATTTTTAAATTCAAGAAAGAACACCTGAGATTCATTTATTGGTATAACAGTTTTTTATAATCGGGTTGAAAATTGTGTCATAGATGAGTACGTAGAGGATGAGAGCTGTGTTCAAGTTTTGGAATAGACTAACTACGGAGTCTATGGTTTTGGTAAAGTAGGTGAACTAATGTCAATTCAGGTATTTAAAAAAAATGTGTACACAGTTTTTACTTTGATGTACACATGTAGCTAGGTTGAACAACGCATCTAAACCTCACTACATACAAAACATTCGGAAACACAACAGTGTCATCACATCTCATCGCATTTGCATAATTTGTTTACCAATGCTGGACTAGGTTATGGATTTGGTTCCGCAAATGTTAGAATTTGTGATCAAATTTCCTACAATTATGGTTCATTCCAATCCACGAAATACATGCACAGCTTTATGTGATCTATATAGCCAAGGCAAAACTACCCCATAAGTTAATGAATTATCAAGTAAGAACAGGATGATTCATGGGTAAACATTTAATCATCCTGTTCTTACTTGATAATTCATTAACTTATGGGGTAGTATAACATGGGTCGATGTGGCAAGAGAAGGATTTAAAATTGCTGAGATCGAAGGAAGAATGTTACTGCTTTCTGGAGAATCAGATATTAAAAAAAAAAAAAAAAAAAAAAAAAAAAATGAAGATTTACTTATAAATCTGGATACAATCTGAATGATTTTCCTAAAGCAGATGGAATTAGTGGTTAGGTTAGTAATAAATATTGACTCTTTCCGTAACATTATAGACTAATTATATGAACTCACTCTCCCATATAGTGAAAGTGGCTTTGGTATGAAACAAACTCATGAACAAACAATTATAAGACTCCTAAAAAACCTTTTGGGCAACCTAAAGCCGATAAAAAGAAAGGTAGGAAATATTGTGTTAAACGAATTCATCAATCACGTTTTTTAGGGAACACAATCGTCATACTTATTATTGCTTATCCTCCCTTCATATAACTAAGATTTTAATGACTTCACTCTATCCAATGCAGTTAGCTGAATTTACATAAACCTCAAGATTAACCGTCGATTTCGACGGGGTTCCACTAGTAGTTTTATTAATACTTATGATGTCAAACGGGGTGAAGCCCGTGGGTAACAGCTGGTTTGAATTAATTTACAATTTTCTACTGCTCTCAGTTAATTTGAAAATTATCTTGTTTTTTACGTGATAACCAATAACTAACTTATCCCTGACTTGTAATTTTTTTAAGTAAACCCTGAACATAACTTTGTAATTAGTTTTTCCAATACCATATGAAATCATGAATAAAAAAGTGAAACATCTTTAATTTAAAAGAAAACTTCTTTAGATAGGTACATTATTTCAGCTAAAGTCCTCAATTTCCTTATATCAAATTAATTCACACAGATAATTATTGTAAAGAAATTCACAGAACTTCTGGCCAGACAACAACATTGTCCGTAATTATTTCTTGGCCAGAAATAACATACTGTCCTGTTGCAACTTTAATAAACAGCTTCACTCTACAATAACAACACACTTCTTCACTTCTATAATAGCACCATTATAGAAACAAAGCTACTGTACTCAAATGTTTTCTCTTTTGATATATGTGCGTCCTTTTTATATTTAGATATATACAATGTGTTGTTATTTTATGGCAAAACTATTTTCACAGTCTTGTAAATAAAACTTTTTTATATTTAAAGTAATTTCAAAGTTGACATCCTTATAATTTTAAGTACCGTAAGTCATTTCAAAGATCACAAAAAAGTTAAGTACCGTACCTAACAAAAAGTTCTTTCAGTACAGTTCTCTCTGTACGTACTGTACAGACTCACCTCTTGCTTTGATGGATATGTTTCACGCACAGTTCAAAGATCCATGTAGGCAGGCAAATACAAGCTTAAAAGAGGCCGCCAACTTCTTTAAATAATTAATTTTTGCCAGTTCAATATTGAGAAAAGTGTGCAGCTTTTTGATGGTTTGAAACTGGAACCAGCTGTTCTTTATCATTGGGCTTTCAATAAATAGTCCTGACCACGAATACTAGAAAAATACCGGTATGGATCATAAACATAAACAAAATGACGTTGTTGGCCCGAATCCTATACTAATAGCATTGAACATATGTTTTGGCAGTTCCATTTAAGCAATTTTAAATCATGTTTATTTTCGGACCAAAAACGTCATTTGTTTATGTTTATGTTCCATACCGGTATTTTTCTAGTAACCGTGGTCCTGACTAATGAAACAGCTGGTCTTAGTCAGTAACGAAGGTACACAAGGCATCACACTCCATTCTGCACTCATTCTTCACTCATATTTGGGTTATAATACGCACATAGATAGTGTCCCCATCTTAAATGGATATGAATAAACAAAAATACTCACAGCAGTAGTGTAGATATGGACATTTGTGAACATGGGGGCGCTGTATTGGACTTTCCCTTCAGTAAGACAAACTGGTAAGTGATTACTCTCAGGGAGAGGTGGGAAATCTGATAAACTGCAAATCATTTTTCCTTTGTGTTCTGCAACAAATTTCATTCCTGTTAATGGGGAGTCAATTGAGTAGTGTCTATTTATAAAACTCGAGAAGCAAATCATACTGAGGGAAAAAGGACTACATTATGAGGGGGGGAGAATTCTAGAAAAAAGGACTTGTATTAGTGTTAAATCTCACCCACACTGAAGAGATGGGCTTAACAACAGCAATATAGATAGATACCAAGATAGACACAGAAAACAAGCTGTTCTGCCATTTTGTCCAAATTAATCACAATCAAAAATCGAGGCCGGCCTATTTTTTTATATTTAAGAATTTAATATAATTTTAACTTAACTGTAGAGTCCAATTGTTTAGCGCATTCGGCACATCTAAGTTAACTAAGCTAGTACAAAGTTAATTCAAATCTTTGTGGAACACTCTGTACATATTAAACACGTCCTATGGCCGGGACATTAGGTCTAAGTAATCCAATAGACTTGACTGCTTACAAAAGGAAAGCAAATGTAGGATCTGCGCCAAGTAGTAGAATACACATTATTCAACACATACAAATACACAAGTGGGCTTGACTTTAAGGACTCTGGGCGATAAACATCCCTTGCACCAACGCACACACACTCGCCAGCAGGGGCGCACCAGGTCCTATCTACCCCACAGCGCGTGACCTATTGTGTGTGTGTGTGTGAGGGCTGTAATCCCTTAGAGTCCTTCGCCTGCCTCACAGCCTGTAGGTGTAACTTAAACTTGCTCAGTGTTTCCATTTTCGGGACTTTTAGCTCTGATGTTTAATTTGTTTTTTTAAACAGTATCCAGATGAAAAACTAACCCCAACTGATGAAATTATTCCAGCATAACTTGCCAATTAAGTTATAGCAAGGTTCGTAGCCTATAGAACTTTTTTTTACACCTTTACCGAGCCACCTGTCTCTGTGACCTGGGGGAAATTTTACGTTTCTATTGTGGCCACCCTGTTTAACCTTGACAGCCGCACGCTCAGATAGCTTCTTCCCCCTCCCCTCCACCCTATTGTATTACTCAGACATCAGTTTGAGGGAATCGTTACGTCGTTTGAAAGGTGTATCGTTTTTGGAAATCCTGCTGGTCTCACATACCGGACAGCTCTAGTAACGTAATATAGTACGGCGGTTTGTGATACTGGTTGGCTCGATTGGTGATTATAAGAAAATTAGTTTACTTTGTTTTTATTGTAGTACCTGGGGACCGAGCTTTGCTCAGGTAAAATCATTAGTTTAACATGAACGCAGTCTTAGTATTGCAGATACATTAATCCATTCCCAAACTCCACACTGCTCGCCTTTACTACTTCGTTCACCACTTCCTACGTCGTGGGTCTGTTTCCCTCCCTTCTCATAGCATTTTAAGATTGCAGAAACCTTAATCTAATCGTTATAAACAGATCCCACACTCCAGACTACTCGCTTTGACTACTTCCTTCACCACTTCCTACGTCGCGGCCCTGTATACCTCCCTCCCCATATCATTTTAAGATTGCAGATACCTTAACCTAATCTTCAAAAGCAGTTCCCACACTCCGGACTACTCACCTGGACTACTTCCTTCACCACTTCCTACGTCGCGAACTTGTTCCCCCCCCTCCACATAGCATTTTAAGATTGCAAATATCTTAAATTAATCGTCATAAACAGTTCACACACTCCGGACTACTCGCATTTACTACTTCCTTCACCACTTCCTACGTCGCGGGCCTGTTTCCCTCCCTTCCCATATCATTTTAAGATTGCAGATACATACCTTAATCTAATCTTCAAAAACAGTTCCCACACTCCGGACTACTCACCTTGACTACTTCCTTCACCACTTCCTACGTCGCGGACCTGTTTCCCTCCCTCCCGATATCATTTTAAGATTGCAGATACCTTAATCTTATCTTCAGAAACAGTGCCCACACTCCGGACTACTCGCCTTCACAACTTCCTTCGCCACTTCCTATGTCGTGGACCTGTTTCCCTCCCTTCCCATATAATTTTAAGATTGCAGATACCTTAATATAATCTTCAAAAACAGTTCCCACACTCCGGACTACTCGCCTTGACTACTTCCTTCACCGCTTCCTACGTCGTGGACCTGTTTCCCTCCCTTCCCATATCATTTTAAGATTGCAGATGCATTAATCTAATCGTCATAAACAGTTCCCACACTCTAGACTACTCGCCTTGACTACTTCCTTCACCACTTCCTACGTCACGGACCTGTTTCCCTCCCTTCCCATAGCATTTTAGGATTGCAGATATCTTAATCTAATCGTCGTAAACAGTTCCCACACTCCAGACTGCTCACCTTTAACTACTTCCTTCATCACTTCCTACGTCACGGACCTGTTTCCCTCCCTTTACATTGCATTTTAAAATTTCAGATACCGTAATCTAATCGTCATAAACAGATCCCACACTCCACACTGCTACCCTTGACTACTATGTATCGAGTTCAGTTTAATCTTTGCTTAATAGTAACAACTGATGTTTTTCCTTTTGTACTGTATTTTGTTTTGCTAGTATACTGTGGATAGAGAACTTCTGCGCATGCGCAAGCTAAGGTGCCCGTGGGTACAGAACGTCAAGTTATGTCGTAAAATGTAAACAAAATGACAACAATGGCGGAATGTTTTCTCATAAGGCCCATGTTAAATTTTCAAAAGTTTGTACTCATATTATGGCGAAAATAGATTTTTCCTGGCTATACCATTGGTCTAGAACTTATTTTTGACCCAGAACTTAGTTATTCCGTAAATATAAACGTTTTTGTTAGAGCCGATTCCCAGATCGAGTTGACAAGTATTCAAACTTTACTCGTATTATATATAGGATATATTACCCTTTTTACATAGTGTTTATTTTATACAAACTAGGAGTGACAATGAATTGTCGTGGGACAAGTCCTAGGGTTAGACCAAACAGCAAAGACATTACCAATGTGGTTAAAAGAATGCTTAGAGACGTTGAACTCAGTGAGACTGATGAAAGTAAAGTGGATGATTCAGACGCAGATCCAGATTTTGTACTCCCAAATGAGCATAGTGGAAGTGAACCAGATCCCGATGAGCCTGATGATGAGCATCAGCTTGCTGATATAGAGGTAAGTGAAAGTGCTGCTTTGGATGATGACTTTTTAACTGAATATGTCAGTGGACGTCATAGGAAAAATGAACTTGGACCAGGATACTCCTTGCAACCTACTCCACTTTATTAAGGGATTTTATAAATATAAATTTACTTAAAATAGATAATCACTAAGTGGCGTTCGCAGAGGCATCCACAAAATTGAGCGGAGTTATCAAGGGTTCATATTATATTGTTTTTGTCATACTGCAGTAAAAACAGTAGTTTTTAATGCATGCGTTGCGGGTCTAAAGTACCATTTTTACTCTTTAGGGAATAAAAATCGTTTTTAGCCTCTATGGAGTAAAAATAAGCTGTTAACCAACTCAGTTGTAAATTTCTATTGTGAACGATTGCATGTATCGAAATATGTATCGATTCGTGCTTCGTAATCATTTTATAGATGGCTAGATAACAATGATCTTAATCTAGGGGTTGGTTCGTGCCGGGTATGAAATTCTGATAGGCTAATTAACTTAATTTATACTAATGTAGGCTAAATAATATGAGATAATAATGAGAGTCAAAAATTTAGGCTAGAGTTCTTAGTTTGAAACAGTCACTTGAATTTAGTCTATTCACAATATGGTGTGATGGTGGTCGGAAATTAATGATGGGTTTTTAAATGTTTATTGAGTTTGATATAACCAAATTTTGTTGAATACTTATCTTCTTTCTTAATGTCTCTTTATAATTGATATTTCTATATGATCTGAATGTTAATTTTATAGACTTTTGAATATTTAATCACTGGAGACTTGGCTCCCACATTCATCTCTTTCCATATCTTTCACCAAAAGCACATTTTCTTCCTTTGTTTTTAGCTTTTCTTTCAACAATGCTACTCCAAACCTGGACACTGGACTGTACATAAGAAATATTTCCTACCTAGACACCATTTCATTTTAGAAAAATGTTGTGTATCTGAATTTGTAACAATTGACGAGATGTTGGTTCCATTTTGTGGCAAATGTAGTTTCAGAATGTTGTTGCAAAGCCTCACAAATATGGCATAAAGATCATGCATCATGCTGACTCAAAAAAATCATATTTGTACGATGCTTATATTTACAGGCAAGGACAGCGATAGCATTGAGCTTACACGTCAAGAGCAAGAACTTAGCAAGCCGACACAGTCAGTTATAAGACTAACTAAGGACATCCAGAAGAGTAATAATAGGAATGTAACAGCTGACAACTGGTTTTCCAGTATTGAGACCGCCGAAGCTTTGTATAAAGAGAAGTCTAACCTATGTGGGAACAAAGAAAGAACAAAAAAATCATACCTTCTGAATTTCTTCCAAACATAGATCGGCAAGTAATGACTACGCTGGCTTCAATGGTCAATATAATATCATGTCTATGGTAGCTAAACAAAACAGCATCATGACATGGAGATAAACCCAGACAAGAACAAACCGGAATCGTGTGTTTTTATAATAATAAGACAAAGTTGGCATTGATCTACTGGATATGAAATTTGCAATCTACGATTCAAACCGGCGCACTCGAAGATGGCCACTGGCATTGTTTTTCAGGGACCTGCCCTCACTATAGCCAGTGTAAACTCGTTTAAACTGTACATGTGCTACAGTGGTTCCCGTATCATGACACGATTCGAGTTTGTGAAGCAGCTGGCTCAAACCCTTGTGGAGCCCCACCTGAGGCGACGTCTCACGATCCCCCAGCTTCGTTGAGACATAAAGCAAGAAATAAATAAAGTGCTCGTTGAAAATGAACCAGAAAGGCAAGTTGAAGTAATTCCTTCAGATAAAATGGAAAACAGGAAGACGTGTGGGAAGTGTCTGTCAGCAAGGAGAGGAAGACACAGTACAGTAAGTGTTTTTAGTGTCACATACCAGTCTGCCTAAAATGCACTCAAAAAGTCTGCGTGGACTGTGCTCAAGAGATTGTTTGACCAAGAAACATTTACAGTTGACATCTCTATAATACAATCACCAATCATAGTCTTTTCGTAAACGTTTCTTACGTATTTAACTGTTAACACTTTTTCCAACAATTCTTTGATTTCTAAAAAAAAATATTCTTTAAGTTATATAATAGGCCTAATTATGTCACATATATAGATTTTACAATATACAGGGTGTCACAAAAAAGTGTGATGGGCTATACAGGACCTAATTCTACATGCAAAAATAAGTCAAAAATGAAGAATAATTTTTTTTGGATATCGGCTTAGTTTAGCCGTAATCCGCCATTTTGTTTTTTGGGGAAAATATTTATTATTTCAAAATCCCTTTGAGATATTTTACGAAACTTGGCAAAATTGTTTACACTATAGTAAGTAACATTTATAAAAAAAATTATTATTTTAACTTTCCAAATTTCAAAATGGCGGCCGTTTGAATTTTTTAATGCCAAATTTTATGAAAACCGGTACCTAAATCAACATTTTGTAAGATACAAAAGTTTTAGTATTTATTATGACAAATCCAACAAAACAAAAATGAATAAAATCGGTTCATAATTAAAGAAGCTGTGTTTATTTTAGTAATTTAGACTGAAATTATTAATATTAAAATGTATTAAATGTAATGTAATAATTTATGTAACGTATTAAGTAATTTCAGTCTAAATTACTAAAATAAACACAGCTTCTTTATTTATGAACCGATTTTATTCATTTTTGTTTTGTTTGATTTGTTATAATAAATACTAAAACTTTTGTCTCTTACAAAATGTTGATTTAGGTACCGGTTTTCATGAAATTTGGCATTAAAATATTCAAACGGCCGCCATTTTGAAATTTTGAAATTTGAAATAATAGTTTTTTTTTATAAATGTTACTTACTATAGTGTTAACAATTTTGCCAAGTTTTGTAAAAATATATCAAAGGGATTTTGAAATAATAAATATTTTCCCCAAAAACAAGATGGCGGATTACGGCTAAACTAAGCCGAAATCCAAAAAAATTTATTCTTCATTTTTGACTTATTTTTGCATGTAGAATTAGGTCCTGTATAGCCCATCACACTTTTTTGTGACACCCTGTATAGTATATACCTATGTAGGCTAATAAAAATTTATCAATATTTATTTGTTTTGATTTAATAATCCATTTGGTAAATGTATAGAAATCGTTAAAAACGGTATTTTAGACGCATTTGGTTCTGAGACCAGGTGGCTCTATCAACGTCATAGATATCAAGGCTCCGTAAAGGTTGATTCACACACATCAGTTACGGCACGTCACATTTAGCAAATATATTCTTTAATGGATTTTCTATTGCACTATCTACACTCATCCGTCCCAGTCCTGTCAGTCGCTCTGCCGGTGCCCACCAGTCTATTTCAGATTTCTTTTTACCGATATTTTTGGATTGGTCGGATGCCTGACGGACGTGTTTGAGGTTAGAAAACAGTGTTTTTGTTATTTAAATGATTGATTGTGTTTATATTTTGAGTAGGTAGGCCTACTGTCTGTAACAATCAACAAAATGGATGATGAAAATTTGATAGAATATAGGTTTATAATTTAAAATTTTTGACTGTAACTTAAATTACTGTAAATATTAGAGACGGAAAGACTGACTGAAACCAACTGACGGACTGTTGACTGCGGAATTTCGGATGCAACTGGGACTGAACTGTAACTAGACTGTAACAGAACTCATATGTGTGAATCAACCTTAAAGGTGTTAAAATATGATCTTAAGACAAAAATGTTTGGCTAGGCTACTAGGAACATTAACGCAGATTGAAACTAGATTTTTTCAGCGTGTTTAGTGGGATTGGGGTACAGTTTCTTAAACTGGGCTACGGTATGCTAATATCGATTGAAACTATGGATTCGATTAGTAAACCTTCGTGCGATTTTTTCACCATCAGCAAGTTTGGTTGGTTAGGTTATGATAGTTTTAAGTTATTTGATAATAAATATATTTAAAAATATCGATTATTAATCAATATTTTCAATTCGATATTAGCATAACTTAGTCCAGTTAAGAAACTGTACCCCGGGATTGTTTTGGTTTTATAAAAAAACTGATCATAACTTAGACCAACAACAAAGTTAGACCTAGGCCTATAGCCAGTTAGACTGAGTAAAATCACGTGCAGCTTGGAAATGAAATGAAATGCTTTATTGTCGTTAAAACTGAGTACAAAGTCCATGACAATCGTCAAAAGAAAAAGAAAACAATCAAGATGGCAACTAAAACTAAAACTCTAAACCAAAGTACTCTTCATGTTTATACAGGCAAGCCTGGGTTAGAGTAGTTTTTAAAACATGTTTAAATTTTGAAACACACAGGTTTTCACAGGAACATACTTTTGGTCGGCATGACTTTACTTAGAACTAGTGGCTTGTAGGGACATAAGTCCCTAAAAACCTCAAATGTAAAACAACTTTTTGTAATACCGGTATTTAAACAAACTCAGAATAACATTATCTATATGTCAGAATAGGCATCCCTACACCATATCTTTTGTGTAAAAACCAGGTTGTTGTTCTTCTTTGTTTGCTTTTGTTGATGTCATTTTCAATAAATAATTTGAATCACTCCAGTGGTTTAACATGAAAAGGCAGCAAACATATCATTGTTTGTGAATAAATACTGGTTTACTAAGGTAGCTTTGGTCTTGTGGTTAATGAGGATAAATAAAAGCTTCCCTGTTTGGAATTTTAAAAATTCATCGGAGGTTCGCCTTCAGATGAATTGAAGACGCATGCATTTTCATCTGCAGTAGGCTTATTATACCTACGACGATCCATATTTATCCTGTCTACAAACCTAAGTCCTAATTCACTGTCACCTTGTACAACCATTTCTTCCGAAGCTCTTTTGTAAATTTGTGCAAATGGATTTTCTAATAGAATTTCAGCTAGTTTTGACAATATTTCAGGTTTTAAGTCACTATTTTCTCGACGCCTTTGACGAATTTCTGTTGCTGTTGATGTGTCAATAATGTACAATTGGCCATACACGGGGTCTTCACCATGTTGAGGCAGCAAATCTGAGATTGAACGATAAATCTGTCCTTGAATTTTGAAACAGTATGGTCCTTTTCCTGGAATATCTTTCTTACTGGCTGAAAAATAAGCAAAAGCCATCGCACTGTTGCATTGTCGAATGAATTTACAGTTGTGGGCTCTCTTCAAACAAACTTTTAAGTTCTACATTAATTTTTGACTGAGGAAGGTTAATAAGTCCGTTATAGCAACATGTCATAAAATGATTATTCGTTAGTTCTTCTCTAAAATGAAGAGCACTACATTGAATGTACTCTTGGTCCAGTAATCCTGCATCATGGATCTTTACATTTCTCTCGTCTACCATGGGTCTCCTAAAAAGGGGTTGTAACATATCTTGATTAAGTTCGTCATTATCTACTCTTGCTCTCCTACGCGCACTGTCATTCCTATGAACAGTTCCCCGCCTTTGTGGTATTCCCCTGGCGTTCATATTAATTACAGTACTTATAATGAAAAGAATATATATCCAGCAGCCTACATACCAAAACATCTTGAATCCCTGGTGATTTAATAAAAGTATGATCGAATATGATTACTCTACGTTGTATATTCACTGCACTAAAAAAATTTACTTACGAAGGAATGCAAATACACCATTTTAGAACCAATAACATTTATAGGTTATTTTAGTTGTATATATTCACACAACCTTAACCTTAAAATGTGTAGAAATATAAAGAAAACAACATCATTTAAAATAAACTTGAACATATGATTTAAAAATAAAAACAAAACAGAAGTTAGATTTAATTTCGACTCTTTGATTATTTATACAGAATATTTATTCTATGTCGTTTATTCCTTTAACACGACAATAACGTAAAAGCGTGAAAAAATGAAACTTGAGTATATGATTTAAATATAAACAAAGAATTTTCCGACTAATCTTCAATATTTAAGTTTTATTATAGTATACATTTCCAAGTCAATAGTTTAAAAATATGATTGTGATATTACCATTACCTATTGCCGATAGGCATGACTGCTATGTTAGTAAGTTAGTCTATCAAGCGGCATAACCTATAAACAATAAATGAAATGCATGTAGGTAACTTAGGCCTACCTTGGTACGTTAAACGTGATGTTTTCCTAAGGTTTTAACGAATTAGTTTTTAACCTTAGAGTAGGCAAGAAGATTACAATCAAAATTGAGATATAAAAGTAGACACTAGACAGAGCGAGAGGAGGACAAAAAGTGAGATTTGACTGTTTTGATTTGAAGTTGACATTCCATTCAACTTCCAAAATTCCCTCCTTCCCTGCTGCAGCTGGCGGCATACGCTGAGTCGCTGACCGAGTGACCGGACCGGCTCGGCTGGGCTGAGGCTGACGCAGACGCTCCCTCTTCCATTCCTCCCCAAGTTCAAGTTCCCTCTTCTTTGTTCTTTCTTTTTTCTTCTTGTTATAAAAATCAAACGTTCCTCTTCTTCATTTTGCATAGTATTGAAAATTTAGAATTTATCACTGATTAAACCTACTCAATGAACGAACTTGGCCATAAAATTGTAAAACGAATATTTTTTTGTATGTTACGAAAATTTAATAATACTTTATTAATGTAAGTATTTCTACATTATTATGCCTATTTTATATCATTAGCTATAATTTTCAACGTTTAATCTAAATACGTCAGGTTTGGGCCCAAACACGGCCGCCTTTAACTACAGGCCGCGGCCTTCGAACTGGCAACGTCGCAAGTGGTGTTGTAACAGCTGTTTTTGTTTGGAAGCAGCTAATGGTATTTGTCACATTTGTGTATTTACGAAAGATTGGTTACTGGACTATGACAATATTGACTCCGCTTAATAATGTACAGATATGGATTTTAATTCATATTGTTTCGGTTTTCAATTCTGTGGGTTTTATTTTCAATATTTTAAATATTTTAAATCAATCAAGTGCGAATTAATGAGCTGATGTCACCTGTCTGCCATGTTATCTTATGGGACGTCTGTCGCTGAACAACACCACTTGCGACGTTGCCAATTCTACCAGGCCGCGGCCTGTAGTTAAAGGCGGCCGTGGCCCAAACCACGGGCACCTCAGTCGCAGTCCGCAACCTAGTAAAATTTTCCAGGTCGCAAGAAGTTTGGTTTAGAGCCAGACATCCGAAGATCTTACATTACAGACAGGTGGCGTCCGCTAGTTTAATTGCGTTTTAGTCTATTCTATGTGGTGTTACAGTATTCATATTCAAAGTCTGAATCTGAATCAATCTTTATTGCCTAATGTAATAGACAGAGTCATAATGGTTGTAGGCCTACTACTAATCCTACTAATATTATAAATGAGAAAGTTTGGATGTATGGATGTATGGATGTATGGATGTATGTTTGTGACAAGTGAACGCGAAAAATACTGGTCGGATTGGGCTGAAATTTGGCATGATGATAGCTCACATTCCCGATTAACATATAGGCATATTCTTATTTCAAAAATCCTTTCGGGCTCCGCCCCAGTGGCTCTGGAGTTTCCCATGTTAACCTTATGAGAAATGAAATTATTGAATCTTAACATCTGTTTCAATTAAACAAGTTAGTTCTGTTCTGTGATGTTCAATAGCATTAAAGTTACAAAAATTACCAACAGGGTGCAGCACTATTATTTCTTTTACATTTATGACAACAGCTAATTTGCAACCAAAAGGTGAGTGAGCGTAGCGAACGAACTTCAACCTGGAGGCGAGTTAGCGTAGCGAACGAGCTAACCTGAAGGCAAGTGAGCGCAGCGAACGAGCTCCAACCTAAAGGTGAGTGAGCATAGCGAACGAGCTCCAACCTAAAGGTGAGTGAGCGTAGCGAACTTCAACCAGGACGTGATTGAGCCATGCGAACGAGATAATCTTGAAAATTAAGAAGTTAAACGGGGCAAAGCCCGCGGGTTACAGCTAGTACAATATAAGTTATGAACTTCAAAACAGTAGACAAACTTAGGGGAAGGAAAGACAACAGTAGTTGTTGGTAAACATTACAGTAGTGACAGTGTTGCCACTTCAAACACCGGGACCTGGAATTGAAGGTGGCCGTGTCCAAACCCCGAGAAAACCCGTTAAGTCAGTGTAATATTTCTTAAATTCAAAAAGAATATACTACGAGAGATGAAATTATTGGGAATATATCCAAAACAAACAAAAGGGGCTTGTCATGGCCACCTGTTTCTACAGTCCGCGGCCTGCCCATTTCATAATAAAGTACAAACTAATATTATTAGTAAATCAGCTGATTGCCCAATGCAAATCCAATGGAAATTACAAGTTACAAGTTGTAACTTGTAACTTGTAACTTGTAGTTTATTATGACCGGCAACGCCGCAAGTGGTGTTGTTTAGTGACAAACGTCCTATAAGATAACATGGCAGACAGGTGACATCAGCTCATTAATTCGCACTTTGTTGATTTAAATTTAAATTTATGAACATAAATGTATTAAAATATTGAAAATAAAAACATACAGAATTGAAAACCGAAACATCATAAATTAATTAAAAATCTATATAATTTTAAGAAGAGTCAATTTTGTCATAGTCCAGTAACCAATCTATCGTAAATACACAAATACCATTAGTTGCTTCCAAACAAAACAGCTTTTACAACACCATACAACACCACTTGCGACGTTGCCACTTCGAAGGCCGCGGCCTGGAGTTAAAGGCGGCCGTGGGCTTGGCCATGGCCACCTTAAGTAGCGACAACTAACTATGGTAGCGCTGTACTAGCCTTGTGTGAGTGTGTTGACTAAGTGATTTTGACGGTCTTTGATTTTAAGGAAAGAATCAGAATGTGAGCATTGTGACGCGTCCATTTATTTTTTATAAAATTCAGTTGTTCCTGTCGGTTAGGGTTCACTTACTCTACGAATCATTGACACAATGAGCCTCCAAATATGTAATTCTTAAAACACATGGCTCACTTACTCTACAAATCATAGTCTATACGAGCTTCGTAAATAATATTGAAGGTTCACTTGCACTACAGGCTCGTATACTATACGAGCCGATCAAAAATATTAAATAAATGAAGAGGGTTCACTTACTCTACAGATCATTGTGCCTATGAGCCAAGCGTATGAATTCTTGAATAATTCAGGAATAAGCTCGTATAGTATACGAGCCAAAATACTGAATTTAAATAAATTACAGGAGTAGGCTCGTATACTATACGAGCCTATTTCATGATAACTATTACACAAATAGAAGACGGTTCACTTACTCTACAGTTCATTGGCACAATGATCTGTAGAGTAAGTGAACCCTCTACAAATATTAGAAGGCTCACTTACTCTACGGTTCATTTAGCTACTCGTCGCGCGGTTTGCAGCGCATCGTTGCAGGCGTGTATGGTAAACCAATACCGCAGTTCTGCCGTTCTGCCTTACTTCTGCCGTTTACTAGTCTTGCAGCGTGAAAGAGAGCTTAATTGTTATGTTAATGCATTGTTGAATTTTTAACTTGTGTACTCGTTGCTAGAAATCAAGCAATTATCAAGTACCGGTATTACAGGAGCTATTTTAAGAGTTATTACAGACTTAATTTTCAATTAATTAAAAAGACTCACGTAAAAGCTTATGCAACTAATGGAATTACTTAATATGTTATGAACATTTCTATATAATTAAAGTTGTAAATATTTTAAAATTGTTTAGAAGATTGCGTTTTTAGTGTTTTCTACAAACGTGTCTCAACTTATACACATAGACTGGTGGAATGGTAATTTATATTTCTAATCATTTAACTTTTAATTATGAACGCTTTCAGTCACGTGAAGTTGAATTAATTAAACTGACATTAGTTTTAACCATAAATGATAAACCTTTTGAAATTGACTTAATAGCTTTGTATAGAAACTATAAATATGATTTTTATTTTTTCCGCAATGATTTGCAACGTATTTTGAGTAATTGTAAAAACACAGCTATTATGTTATGAGATATAAATTTATGCATTTTAGAACAAAATAACAGTGTCATTGATTATTTAAGTATAATGAACTCATTTGGTTTTGAGTCGTTTATAAATGAGCCAACTTGGGGGAGAGAAAATTGGGTAAAGTGTTTAGACCATATGTATTCATCAGAAGTAAGACTAATTTAATTTTTCATAGTAATTTAGAAAACTATGACTTTACTGATCATGCTGGAGTTAATGTAAATTGCGTAACAAGTTGTGATAGTGCTTTGAAAGAGGAGTTTGTCAAGGCTGTAGATCATTCAATTTTAAAAAGAAGGTTGGCTGAAGTGAGCTGGATGCCAGTGTTTGATTGTGAGGATGTTGATAAATCTCTAACAGTTTTTTACGATATTTATAATAAATGTATTGAGCAATCAAGTTTTTTAAGGCCTATTAACAGTAAAAATAGGCATCGAACTCCATGGATATCGGACACACTAATTAAAAAGATAAATGAAAAAACAGACTTCACTCTCGATTGAAAAAGCACTATGACATACATTTGTTTAATAGGTATAAAGAACTCTCTAGAGAATGTTCTAATTTGAAAAGACGGGAAAAAATTAATTACTACTCATCTAAAATTGAAGCAGTAAAGGGTGACTCAAAGTCTTATTGGAATATATGCAAATCAATTATGAGAAAGTCAAAAAATGAACTAACATCCATTAATATAGATGATAAAATTGTACAGGTTGAGGGTAATGAAAAAATAGTTGCTGACTCATTCAATAACTATTTAACTGGTATGCCGGATAAGCTGATTAGAGAATTGTATGGGCCGGGATTCCCCGCCATGCCGGATATCGGTCTAGCGTGCAGCTCAAGGTTACGTTTATCTGAAATTACTGAGGTAGAATTAGAAAGTTTAATCTTAAGCAAACCAAATAAACAGTCTGTTGGCTTTGATGGTATTTCCATAAATACTATAAAAGAAAATGTTAAGATTTTTGTCCCAATATTACGTCACATTTTTAATTTATCTATAAAGCTGGGTTACTTCCTTCTAGTCTAAAAACAGCACTCATTGTTCCAGTATATAAGGCAGCTGATCCATGGCAAATTAATAATTACAGCTCGTGACACCTAAGCTGGCACTTGGCCTAGCGCGGGCAGTGTAGGCGGGAGGAGAGTGGAGGTAGGGAAAAGACCGGACTGCAAACATTTCCGCTGCCTCACGGGGTTGACTCTCCTTGCATTGTACTTGAGCGCCTTCATATCGGTCGCGAGGACAGTTGATGCAACCCGCATGACGAGACATAATGTTTTTGTAATAGGTACTAGTAGCGATAGGCCAAGTGCCAGCTTAGGTGTCACGAGCTGTACCGACCGATTTCACCTTTGCTAA